ACATAGCATTATCAAAGAATGTAGACAGAAATTTCTCTCAGCTCTCTTTATTTATGACCCACTTTTCCAAAATGTTAGTATTGATGATCTATTCATTGAAATTCTCTCCAGTTGTGACAAGTTTATCCTTTCCATCTTTGCTTTTTTTGTTTCTTGTATTTTAGGTCTGTTTACCTTACTTTTGTTTGTGTTCGTTCCAAATAAATAAATATTTATAAATTTTCATGAATTTCAAATGAAAACAACCTGACCAAGGCCAAATAAAATCAATGTGTTTCTTGTAACATTGAAAACAGAAGTAGGGCAAGTAGGCAAGAATAACTTTTTGACTCCCGTGTGCGAAGCACAAAAGGGAGTCTTTGCAGTTACCCTGTCTGTATGTCTGTATGTCACTTTTTTTGTTCCACCGTTATCTCAAGAACCACTAATCAAATTTTCGTGAAACTTGGTACATAGATGCTCTGGGATGATGCGCAGAGTTGATTAGGTTTTGGTAAAAATCTATGAATATTAATTACCTAATTTGCATGATAATTAGCTGATTTTTAGCTGTTCCAAGACTGTTCCACTGATATCTAAAGAACCACTCATTGGATTTTGATGAAACTTGGCACATGGATGCTCTGAACTAGTGCGCAGATTTGAGTAGTTTTGGGTAAAAATCTATGAATATTAATTACCTAATTTGAATGATAATTAACTGATTTCAAGCTGTTCCATGACTGTTCCACTGATATTTGAAGAACCACTCTTTGGATTTTGATGAAACTTGGCACATGGATGCTCTGAACCAATACGCAGATTTGATTAGTTTTGAGTAAAAATCTATGAATATTAATTACCGAATTTACATAATGATAAATCAATTTTCGGCTTTTCCACTGATATCTCAAGTACTAATCATAACATGTCAATAAAACTTGGGACATAGATGTCATATGACACTGCACAGACTGATAGTTAGCCTTCGCAGACGAAGTCTGCGAAGGCTTATAGATTGGGTTCTGTCCGTCCGTCCGTCCGTCCTTCCGTCCGTTCGTCCGTCTTTTGCCTCCTATAACTTTGATATGCTCTGTCCAATTTTTTTCCAAATTGGTGCAAATGTATATCTCAATGCCATACATATGCACGCCAAGTATTTTTTTGATTCGCCAAAGTTTCATTGTGTTTTTCTGTGATTTTCAACATTATACTAGTACAAATGCCGAAATTTGCCGGAAAAATCCGAGTTTTAACGACATCTCGCAAGAGAACTGGCATACCGTATTGCGCATGCGCCAGTCCAACCGCTGAGGAAATCGGCGGCGATTTCGTCTGAGGATATTTTATTCCGGACTGTATTTTTCTTTGCACAAGGCTTACATAGATTAAATTCTATCTCAAAGATAAGAAACTGTGCTGATGGTATTTATTATGAACTTTGATTTATCCTTTTGTGTCCTGACTTTAGTGAGAAACTAGCGATCGCACAGTGTCACATTTTGTGTCCTGCTATTAGTTCAAGAACTTGTTATGAAACGTGTAAATCGAAAGTCTATCTCGACATTTAGGAGGCTTGGGAATAACGTTTGGCATATACAATACTGGAATAATAAAAACGTAAAAGTTTAGAACACGCTGATCGTGATTCTTTTATGTACGATTGCTATTTCCGGTGTTCATTGGCAACTGTAGCAGATTGAAACTTGGTTTCCTGACGACACATTAGACTAGAATTATCAAGAAAACACAAGTCAAGTTCGGCCAACCGTGACTGCTTGAAAGCAATGATGAAATTGAAAAGTACTGTAATTCAATATCAATGAATCTATCATCACTTTTAAATTACCTTTGAAGTAAATATGATAACCGAGTGCGTTATTGCACTCGTGACCGGGACCTCCATGCTCCATGCGGTGTTTGGAAGTT